GAGTAGTCTTAAGAATTCAGATTTCATTTTACAGCTTTTGTACCAAAATTCATCCTGCTTTTTCTTCTTTTTTTAATATGCCCTTTTCTTAGACTTTGCCATACCTATCATGTTCCCAAGACCCAACAGACGTCAGAACTAGAAAGGTAGTGCCCTACCTTGAGAAGTAAGTTCCTAAAAAGTAAATCAATAAGTTTATAATACAACTCTCTTTAGTAGATTTCCAGGGCTCTTTACAAAGCAACCATCAAGCTTTGATGCAAATGCAGTTTTAAACCCAGAACAGTTTCTTTGAAGCTTTCGACAAGGTTCAATGATTGATAATCAGTAATGTCACCATCCTGAATGACAGGAAGATAACTGGAGGGAAAAGGAACCTTTTGTGTTATGCTTGAGACAAACTTGTTTGTTCACTGAACTGAGAGATGCTGTAGCAGATAATCTAGGATTTCCCTGGTACTGTTAGGAAACTATTTTTTTTGTATGAGATCAAAGATATGTGATTTCCTGATTCTTTTTTGAAAAGCCATTTTGGGAGAAAAATTTAACTATCATTTTCACCAAGATACATGTTGCTAACGTTTAGCTGCAAGTAGCAAGCACTCTGTTGTATATGGGATTAATAAGTGAATGATTAGAAGTAACTTGTTTGGGGACAAACTCCAGATGGGGCCTCATGAGTGTGGAGTCCTCTCTCACTCTACTGAGCCATATCTTTTATGCCCCATCAGCCCTAATAGTGATCCACTTGTCTCCATCCACTCAGATGGATATTCCGTGCTCAGAAAACTTTCAAAGTTGACAACAAGGTAATTATGGGTAAGATCAGCATTTTTAAATCCCTAAATTTTCAGTGGTTAGCGTAGGAGCTGCGTGTTCGCTGTCTGCTGTGGCAGAGGTGAGATGTTACTGCTGCTCTCCAGTCCAGGGAGGCTTGCACAGTACTGTCCTGGTGTGCTCAGCAGTGACTCGTGCAGAGCGTGGTGGCTGAGGAATAACCCACGCCACAACTCCCTGAAGCACTGTGAAAATGCTGTGTGGGAAAGGCTGATTCCCCCTGGGGCCAGAGGAGAGAGGGCAGAATAGTTTTAAATGATAGTTACTATCATGCAGAATGACATCTCCAAAAGACAAGCTGTAAAGTCACTCAGCTGCTGATTTGTGTCATGGTCATCCTTCAAGACAGGCGATGAAAAGCTGTTGAGAGATATTAACCCATCTACTGACACCCATGGAGGAGCACAAACTCCAGCATTAATCTTGTTTTGTGGCTTTTGTCAGTGCCGCATAAAGATAGGTGGATTGTAGTTGATCTCCAGACCAGAAAAGAAATATTAACACATAGCTAGTAGCATTACTGTCAAAATAAAGGCCCGCAGGATAATGGGAAATTCTTTGTTCACCCAGGGAAAGAATTGCAGCTTCCTCACCCAGCCAAGAACACATTATTATATTGTCAAATTTTAGTAATTTTGCACTGATGCGTAGGAAATTAATTTCAAATCACTAGATATCCTGATGCATTCATTTGGACACAGCTCCATCGAATGACTTGGCACATTTTTAGGCACAGTTGGACACCCTGAGTATAAAATTGCCATTCTGAAGGCTCCTATTTAGCTCCCTTCTGACACTGGCAGTGAGTCAAAGCACTAAGTGCCTATGATTTAGCTGATATTGATACTGCTTCTCAGAAGCTTAGAAGTACCTTATCCTTAACAGAACCAACTCTGTCCCATGCCAAAAGCCTATCATTAGCCACAAACAGATATCTGTCTGCCTCCATGGCCTCTGGGGCTTGTTCCAGTTAATTTTCTCTAGGCATTCTGTGCTGCACAGAATAATGGCAGCATGAGGCATTTTATTCAAACCACAGCTGCCAAGGATGACTGTGCAGAGACTGGCAGTAGCTGCTCTCAGTTAGTAGGCTGGCAGTCAGAGCTTGCTGGGGGCCATGGGGGGGCCCAGCCCTGTCTCCCCTTCGCCTGGATCACTGGGGTGGTCCTCTGCAGCTACAAGGAGTGAAGGAGGCTGGACTCAGTATTGAATTTCTCCCAATTTGCAGTGGGAAAGCACACACTTTGGGCATTCACTTACATATGATGTACTGGATTTCAGTCCTTTGGAGAACTGCTTGAACTAGTTTATTCAGGAACTGTGGAGTTTCCCTACTGAATGTCTCCAAGTGAGGCTGTCTAAAGGCTTATGGCCTGCAGCTTAAATTGTATCAATTAGTTTTGATAAAATGTACTTTATGTAGCTAGGCTGCACTGGGAGAAGTTTAATTTGAGCTGACCTGTGTCCAGGCAATGGGATGTCTTCCCAGCAAGGAATGGCTAAAACTTAACAAAGGCAGGCAGTGCATGATGATATGAAGACTTGTGTCTTCTGTCACAGCCTGTGCTTCCAGCTCTAGTGGGGATGTCACAGTAGAAATATTTTCCCCAGTCCAGGTGGAATGGTGGAAAGTGAGAAAACAGAAGCTAAGACATAGAGCAGATAACTTTCTACACAGTCTGATAGTGACAGAAAAAGGAGGAATGGCTTTGAACTAAAAGAGGAGAAAGTTAGATGTTAGAAAAAAGTTATTTACTCAGAGGGTGGTAAGGCGCTTCAAGAGGTTGCCCAGAGAAGCTGTGGTGCCCCATCCTTGGAGGTGCTCAAGGCCAGGTTGGATGGGGCCCAGGGCAGCCTGATTCAGTGGGTGGCAGCCCTGCCTACAGCAGGGAGTTGGAGTTCAGTGTTCTTTAATGTCTCTTCCAACCTAAGCCATTCTGTGATTCTATGTCAGGTGTCCTGCTGTGCTTGTGGATCTTGGTTAAGAAAGGGATGATGGCTCATTTGTGGGGCAAAATAGTGAGTTTGGAGGTGAGTGAGCTACAAGAGTAAATGGCTGATAATCAGAATGCGTGAGAGTGTAAATGGGAGCTCTGTGCCGGTTCTCACAGCACATTCAGAAGTTAGGCTTTTAGCTGTAAATGCAGGTGTGCCACACTTCATGTGAAATAGTACCTATAAATGGAAATGTGGTGTGAAATCCATCATTGGAAGGTCCCTCCACTTGGATGGAAAAATACCCACTGGTGCAGATCAGGGGCGTCACGAGCTAACTTTGCTTTCTGGGAAATCGCTTCCCCCACTCTGTTGGTATAATAAAAGATTCGGTACTGTGTTTGACATGTACTGTCTGAGATCCCAAATTTCTGTCCCCATTGCAGAAAATGTTCTATGTGGTAGCAAACTCGTATTAATGCAGCTTTCAAGCCCAAATAGAGCTTGATGTAAAGGAGCTTTTGTAAAAGGAGGTTATAATTTTTGTCACTTACCCCTTAATTTTCAAACTATGAGCGCTTTTCCCCTAATTCTATTGTATCAGGTTTTATACAGAGGAGCTAATTTGCATGCTCAAGCTACACTGAAAAGATTCCAGTCTGCAGGTAACATTTATTAGCAGAGACAGTACTCCTGAGATGTGTGTTTGCTTAATTTTTCATCTTCAAATAGAAAGGAATGACAAAAAAAAACAATTTGTTGACAAGAGAAAGAAAAAGGGATCTCTAGAGGCATTGATGAAGCAGTCATGATTTCTAAATAGCTTCTCATTGATTGATTTCTTCCCACTGGGAAGAAATAGAGTATTTCTGCAGAGATTTCAGGGAATTCTGCTGAGATTTGAAGGAATTTCCATTACTTGCCTAACAAATCCCTATTTAGCTTGCTGTGCTGATCTAATCCCTTGGTTGCCGGAGTCCAACATTTAATCACTTCCAGCAGTTTTCATTTTCCACTGAACATCACTGCAGGGAGAAAAAATCTGTTTTCCAGTTATGGGAAGCTGGACTGAGTCACACCTGGACCTGCAGGGAGTCCAGCCCAACCCTGTCAAGTCCAACGTGGACTTGAGAACCTGCAGGGATTTCCTGAAAAAGAAATGATTGCCCCAACCTGAATACTCTTGAAATCCTAGCAAAATGTTGTTGGGAGGAAAGGCTCCTAGCCACAACCTCACCTAACCGAAATAAGATGTTTTTCAATACAAATTGCTGATGTCTTCACAAGTGCCAGCAAACTCTGTTTGCTGCCATTTGTTTGATGCCATTCAGGTCCCAGTCCTGCCATGGGTGCTGTATGGATGGGCACCATTGGGGTACAACAAGAAACGTGGGGTGTGTGAGCTTAAGCAGGTTTGTTTAAACAGTGAGGTGAATGCAATCCCTGCAGCAGACTTACAAGGAGCAGGCAGATAGAGTTTCTGATATGCTGAAGAAAAATTAACTTTTTCATCAAAATATTATGAACCCTCCACTGTTGGGAACGCTACTACTTGTGACGTGTGGCACATGAATTTAAAGATGTTTGTCTTTGGAAAAATAAATTTTGCTCACTGTATTGCAGTTTTCAGTTGTCTCTTTATAAATCAACATTAAGTTTCTGTGACTGTATTCTTTGTCACTGAATTACAGATCTGTCAGCCAATAAAGGGTAGTGCTGGAGAAAAAGACAGAATTGCCAGTTGGTTTATGCTGATCTGGTACAACAGTTTCCTTGTTGTTTGATAGCAGCTAAAATGAAGCAACACATTCTGTTATATGCTTATTCTCATATAATGCCACTGATGTGTGCCTGACTGGGGATGCTTCTCTTGGTTTTGATGAAACACGGGGGCAATGATATATGTGTGCATATTGGACTTGCTGAAGATAAAACAGTGTGTCAGATTTGGTGTGGGAAGGAATGGTGGTCTGCAGCAGTGGCAATGGCCATGTCTCCTATGACTTTATTATGGTGAGATGTTTACTCCTGGGCCTTTTGTTTAACACAACCATAGAGAAATTCCATGGAAAATTTTAGTTCCTTTTGCTGTCAGACAAATAAGGTGTGTTATTATCACATTTTAATAAAGGTAGATACAACATTAAAAAAGAAAAAACAGCACTTGCAATTGCTTGTATTAATATATAATATAAGTTAAGTTTGACTTGACCTTTATTTATCTTTAGATCTGCCATCCAGAAGCTGGGAGGAGAGGTATTTGAGAAGGTATACACCTATCTGAAGCAGGCGAGACAGCACAAGACCAGTGAGGAAGAGATAACGAGACACCTGGAGAAACTGGTTCCTAGAGCAAGTGATTGCTTTGAGGTGGATCAGCTCCTCTACTTTGAGGAGCAGCTACAAGATTCAGAATCGTATGTTCAGCTGTAAGATGTGCAGGTAACAGTTTGGGCTGAGCTGCCTGCTTCAGGCCAGTCAACAAATCCTGGAGGAGTCTGGAGGAAACTGCTGAGGCTAACTCAGAACATGCACAGTAGGCAGGCTGTTGGAGAGTCCAGTCTGTGCAGTGAGCAGTGGGTAAGTACAGTATAGATTACAAGGGTAGGAAGGAAAACTTACAGAAGGGAGAGTTTATAATTATCGGTGTTCCTTTCACTGCTTAGGGCATAACGGAAGAGTTCTCTTGGACACTAGCCAGTGGCAAAGCTGCCACTGAAGGCAATGGTGCAGGATTAGGCTCCAGCTGTTGTTTATTCCTGCACTGACTGGCCCTTGTGGCATTTAAGCACATCTATTTTGTACCATGGCAGAATACAAATGTATATGGCTATTCCGCCACAAATTGTCTTGTTGCCATTCGTTGTCTAAAGAACTGCATTTAATTTGTGTGTCTTTCAAAGGAACTGTGAAAATATAGATCACATAATCAGGGAATGGCTTGGGTTGGAAAGGACGTTAAAGGTCATCAAGCCCCAACCCATGCCATGGGCATAGCACAGTCACTTCCCACCAGACCAAGCTGCCCAGAGCCCTGTCGTACCTGCTCTTGAATGTTTCCAGGCATGGTGCATCCACAGCTTCTATGGGCAGCCTGTGCCGGGCCTCACTGCCCTCTGAGTGAGTTTTATTTCTAATATCTAATTTAAGTCTCCCCTCTTTCAGTTTAAAACCATTCCCCCTTGTCCTGTCACTATCTGACCATGCAGAGTTGGACTCTCTCCTGTTTATAAGGTTTTTTTTAGTACTGGAAGGCCATAGTGAGTTATACTCTCAGCCTTTCTTCTCTGGACTGAACAAGCCCAGCTGCCTCAGCCTTTCTTCATAAGAGAGGTGCTCCAACCCTCTGATCCTCTTCATTGCCCTTCATACACTCCAGCAGCGTCCTTCTTGTGCTGGGGTACCCAGACCTGGATGTAATACTTGGGCAAAGCAGAAGGGGACAATCCCCTCCCGCTCCCTGCTGGCCACCCCTCTTTGGATACAGTCCAGGATACTGTTGGCCTTCTGGGCTGCAATTGCACACTGTTGTCTCATGTCAGGCATGTGTATATTCATCCACGCTTACTCACATACATAGAAATAAGTATATATATGCATAGAGATGGGAAAACATTTGGCCACATTGTTGTACATGTTTAAGTTTACAGAGACAGAGAGATGAGGCCAGAGCTGTAGATGACTGTGACAGCTAGGAATTCTTATTACAGATTCTCAAAGTTTTTTATCACTGTACACAGAACAATAAATCAATTTTCTTTTGCTTGCACACAGATAATGGTATTTTTTTTCATATCATTTATGTTTCCCTCTTCATATGCATCACTCTTTTGCTGATTGGAAGTGCATATTATGCTGTGATAATATACTTGTGCATTCTGAGCTCCTTTGCCTACCTGTGGAACAGTAACAGATAACAAGTAATACAATCTATAGAAGAATCTCAAGTGAATTGTGGAACAGTTTAGTTTTAGCCATCTAGCCATTATCAAAAGCCCTGTGTACTCTGTTTTTTGCCATAACTCTTCAAGTGCTCAAGAGCTGAATTAGATGAATGAAAGTAAATTCATAATGTGAACTTCAAAAAAATGTTGCTACTTGACTTGGACTAAAACTAAGGATACTGGGATTGACAGTAAAGTAAGGACAAGAACTGATTCATCTTTGTGATGTGCATGAAGAGATTCAAAGGGAACAGCAATTGATCATCCTTATCCATACCAGCAGTAACACAACCTGCAGAAGAAAAGTGCATACCCATCTAAGGAAGATGTGGCCTTTTACTGCCAGCCCAAAGTAGGAGATCCTGGTATGTCTGACTTCAGCTTCTGCTGGGAGTACATGAATGTGAAGTGATATTCACTGAGGTTGCAAAACTGTTTTTGTCTGTGTGATGTTTCATGTCTCATAGGCAGAGAGATAGTTTGAAGCACAGATTCTCAGCCAGACTTCAGTCCCCATTCTTCTCAATGCTATATTTGTGTCCTTGATTCCTTGTGTTTTATACATAACTTCAATTAAGGCCACTTAAATATCAAAATAAGAGGAGTGCTTGGATGTGAATAATATCAGAGAGATACAACCTTGACTACTACACCCACCTCTGGCTGTGATTCAGACTGCTTTTTCACAAAAGCTTGAAAACCAAACTCTGTAGCCATCAATTGCTTTTAGGCATGTTTTATTTGTATTAATTTTCATATTTGATTACTCACAAAGCACTCAAACTCTCTGCTTAATACATGGAGTGTTTTGAATACCATGCTTGCTAATGTGTTGCAATGTAATAGAATTATTAATATCTGTTTGTGCAAAATGTAATGTATGTATGGGAGCTGTTTCACAGCCTGAAGCACTGATTGATCACCTGAGGCAAGCACTGAGTCAGCCATGGAGCACAGGTGAAGGCGATTCAGCTGTGTGATGGAAGGGGTGGAGCTTGGCTGCACCTCTCCTAGACCCCATTTAAGGGCTGACTGCCACTGGGGAAGGATCTCTTTCTGGAGACTCCTCATCTGTGGACTCTTTCCTGCAAACCTAGATCTTCAGATACAGGTGAGCATTCCTTCCTTTGTTGTTTCTTTTCCTATTTTCACCACGATAATCTTTCCAGTTGTAACACCAACTGTAACACATACGTAATAACTATATGCACACTTGAAAAGAGTCTTGAAGTCAGTTTGAAGTTGTTGTTTTTGTAGGTTTTTTTTTTATACTCTTGAAAAGTTTTCAAACCTGAAGACTTAAACAGTAATTAACATCTGCAGTGTGCTCATCTACCACAAGTACTAGCAACGTTCTGAATCCAAATACCTAAATAAGGTAATCAAGAAATGGGAAAAAAAAATCAACAAAATGACTGTCTCCCAATAAACCCCTGCCCTTTCCAGGTCACATCCATTCCAAAGTTCTCAGCAAACTGTTGAATTTACATCATCCAGATAGGGGCCAACTCTCAGAGGCAGGTCCAGCCCTGCTATAACTTTATACAACTTACTGAAATTGCCTTCTGTTTTTCTGACTCTTGAACTCTTAGGGAGGGATATGCATCAGTTCAGCTCCATTCTGAAGCTTGTTAAACCTGTTCCATACCTGGGTTTTAGGCTGTCTTCACTTAAGGGCCTTTGAGTCCTCTCCTGCACTGTGTAGTTAGTAGCTATCAGTGGCCATCTGGTGTGTTATCCCCATCACTGCAGAAATGGGTGCGTAAGTCCAAACATGTGACAAAGAACAGTTTTATACATCCCGGGGCAAAGAGGTTGGTGCTGCAGTGCTGATAGACTGTCTCTGGTGAGCTTAGTGAGACTGCACTATGAGGATTAGATGGAACTGTGTTGATTGAGATGCCATGCTGATGATCTCTTGTATATGGTTATTGGATTGATCGTTTTTCTGCAATCGCATTTGAAAGGAGAAAAGTGAACTCTGAACTAACAACAACAAAAAAAAAAGTAGGGTAGGGAATGATATCCTTAGAGATTAGTCACTCCTAAGAAATGCAAAAAGTTTCAAGAAAACAGGTGCTCAGGAAAACAGGGCAGAATGGTCACTACATCATGATTTCCATGAAGGAATGGTTGTGCTCCATCAGGCTGTCAGCAGGCCTCACTGCTCTGCAAACAGCTCAGCCTACAGAGATGTGCAGTCCTTTTCTAACCTGGTAAACTACTGATGGATGGGGAGAAATAAAATCATCGCATTATACTGAGATCTAGACAAACACAATAATCACCATAAAAGAAGATTTTTTTTCCTTAGAAGATAAGATCTTATATAAAACATGTTTTAATTTTCAGGTTTATTGTGCTTGCTGCAGAAAAGGGCTTATGTTGAAGAAAAGACTGAGTCCCTGCCTTTTATATATGAAATGCACTCCATACACTGAGGTAAGTTCATCCAGTAAAATCCTGTTGTTAATATTGTGGATCTTTAGTAATAAAGCAATAGAGGAGCAGCTGGACATAAATGTAAGAAAATGAATGTAAAGATATTTGATTGTTGCGTATAGGCCTTCATAAAAGATCCCATTTGACCTACATACTTGTACCAAAAGCTTCACAAGTATCAGGCAACCTTGCTGCTTTTTTTATAGACTCTCCTAAAGACTCTACAAACTGTAGTACTTGATGCAGAGATATTGCAAAGAAAGGAAGTGAGGCAAGTAATTATTTTATGGTTTGGGGCCTTGAGCTTACTAAAAGAGTGCTTGGACTGTAAAGAGGAAAAGGACATTTGAGTTCTTTGATGAGAAATAGAGCTGTCAGCATCTTTTCCACAGGTGGATTAGAAGGCAGACCAATTATATTTGTTACAGAAAACAAGCAGTTCTTTCTTAGAGGTGACTGGCTTGCCAGATAATCCCTCAGGAGGCACCAGAAGGCATCTTTCTATAAGATGAATTGTCAGAGGTTTCCAGTGTCTGAAAATCCTTTCCAGTGCAGGAAAGGATCACCCTTCCCACAGGACCTGGCTCTATGGGTGCTGCCCAGTGATGACTTGCTCTGAGGTGTGCTCAGGGCCAGAGCATGAACCTACCCTGACCACTGCTGGCTCTTGAAGTCCACGCAAACCAGGATGGTGGTGCATTGAGCAAACACACAGGCAAGAAAAAGGTAGGAGACAGCAAAGGATGCTTACCGTTACCTCTAAGACTGAACTTTTGGTACACTAGAGTGAAAGAATTTGCTGATAAGAGGAAAAAAAAGCAGCAGATTCAGGAACAATAAGCATATAAACTTACTTGATTTCATGTTTTGTTCATGTGCTTGTTTCATGTCATAAACTGAAAACCCTGTAGGCTCCTCTGAATACTATGTTATTTGGGAGAGAGAGGTCTGAAACTGGACCCTAATTCAGGTGCAGCTTCATCTAAGCTGTTATGAATACTAAATTCACTGTCTGCTGGCCGTGTTCCTCCTAATTTATATAATCTCAGAATGATGGAATGAATTTCTAGTTTATATTCACCCTAGAAGCTACTGCAAGCTATAAGTCCTCCTTATAAAGTCTGATGTTCAGCCATATCATGAGGTTAGTGCTGCCCAGGTGCAGGACAGGTGCTTTTCTCCTGAATTTTATGACGTTTCTAGTGGCTCAGCCCTCTATCTTCACCAAGGCCAGTGAGGCCCTGCTGCATGTCTTCTCACCCACCTCCTCTAGGTTAGTAACATCCCCAGATGCTTGGAGTTCATCTGTGGCCATCGTAGTTGCTGACAAGATACTGAGCAGTGCAGGCCCCTGGGTCAGCCCTGAGGAACTCCATTGGCTGCCACTGGATGCTATGCCTTGAGATGGGCAGTTTTCAACTCAGTTAGATGTATGTTCATTCATTCCGTATGATTGGAACTTCCAAATATACCATACTGGCAAAGAATAAAAGCCTTAGTAAAATCAGGGTATATAACATCCACCTTCCTCCCTTCTTCCATGTATCTCATCACAGAATGAGAGACAAATTCTGTCCTTGATAACTTTATCCCTGCAGATCCCTCAGGGACTGCTTATTGTGCCATGGCCCATGGGTATTCCCTTGGGCTGTACTGTGTTCCTTCAGCATCTCTAGTATGGTTTTTATTTCAATTTTCTTTTTTTCCCCCCATACTTCAGCCTCCTTTTTCTGGCAGAGGCTGCTATATTGATTCACTTCTAGCAAGAGTCAGCAGTATGAAGGTAGTCTTAAATAATGCAGTGGGGTTTGTGCCATCTGCTCTCTGTGAGCTCCACTGAACTCCAGAAAGCTGCTGTGGGGCCTTCCTAGTGTGTGCTGTCTTGTCCCCCTCTCCTCCATCCGCAGGGCAAGGACAGAAAGCAAGAGAAACTCAGAGCTCAGGAACAATCCTTGTTATGGAGAGAGGCTGTCTCACATGTGAGGATGAGCATTATTCTCCAGATGCCTTTGGGCATCTGACACTTGGTGCTATATTGCCACCATCCTACCCCTGCCAATGAGCTTTGGAGTCTTCTCATCTTGAGTGTTCTTTAGGGAAGAACTTGGCTCCTAATGCTGATGGAAACTGCTCTGGACTCCCCAGCAGCCTGATTTTGTCAATTACTGACACTGAGAGGCATATCCTGCTATAGGCAGTCTTGATAATCAGTGCTGGTTTGTGAGAGGAGTGCTGCTCAGTCAAGCTGGGGTGAGGATGAGGAAGTGGGCACTGGATTACTTGCAGATCTAGCTCCAGGTCTTAGCATCTGAGGGAGGTGCCCAGGTTTTGCTGCAGCCCTTCATGAACATGTCTGGATTCATATTCATGATGCAAGACCTGTTTTGAGCTAATAGCATGCCAGGGAGATTTGCAGAGAGTGAGAAAAAGAGCTCTCACAAAGGCAATGAGTCTCCAGACTATCTAATGACTACTTAATATGCATCTAAGCATTGCACCGTTATTGAATTTTAATTGCCTTCTCTCTGTCTTTGTGCTTTAAAATGAAAAAGGAGAAAACACCACATGTAATGAGGGTGGATGATTAAAAAGTAATATCTAAGAGACAGCCAGGCATGTGTGGATAAGACCACAATAATAATGCAATGAGAGAAAGCAACACTACTTTGTGCTTGCCACCTCTTTGGATAGAAAGTGTGTTTTTACAATTGTTAAAAATGTAAGTTATTCTCAGCATCATTTGGTAGAATAATAGACTAATGTGTATCTGTGAGGCAATTAAAGTTACACTGAATGAAATATGGGTTAATTGTTAATGTACAAAAAATCCGATCTATGTTACCAGGTCAGTGCAGATGGGCTTTTTAAAGATTGTTCTTTGGTGTTGTGTTGTTACGGATCTCTGCTTGGATTATTTTACATCATGTTAGATGTGCAAGCATAACTTTGAGCAGTAGACAGCAGGAAGGTCCTAATGAAAGGAGACAAAGAGAGCTCTATATTCATGAAGCATTTAAGCATGTAGTTAGCTTTGTGCACCCACCCCACTGCTGCTAGGTGATAGTTGTGCTGGCAGGAACACAGGAGGGTACTGCTGAGAGAAACACAGGATAGGGACTTTTTGCTCCTCAGCAAGGTCTTCAGATCTACAGGTCCCGGCTTTGAGGCAACGAGCACCATCACTGTTGTTCATGACGTTGCCAGCCCTTCACTGGTGGTCCAAAATGTCCATCCTGGATAGTGTTGATGACACCATTAGCTCCTGAGCTGAATTCAGGCTAATGTATTTCAGCTGATAATAATAAGCTGAAAAAAGCAATCTGGAAGGCGCTATTGTTCTAGGAGGCTATACTTAGCACTAGGAGTACACGAAGGAGTTGACTGAGACATTGCAGGGGGAAGCCACTGAAGAAAGAGTTGCTGTGTGTTACCTCTGCATCATCCTCAGCATCACTAGCAGTGGAATTCCTTCCCAGAAAAGGACCTAGCCTAGAAAACAGCTGAATTATTCTTACAGTCTAGTTAGTCATGGAGTCAGAGAGCTATCTCTGATGCAAAGTAGAGAAAATGTTCAGTTAAGGAGACTGTAGAGATCTAGATCAGGAGCCAAGACAGTAAATCTGGATGGGACAGGGGATGAGACAAGACCCAACACAAATTAAGTTTATTTTGTGTTTCCTCCTTCAAAAGTCTTCCTAGTGTCCACAGGCACTCTCTCAAGTGCTCCTGGAATACATTAGTACAAAAGTGAAGATACAAAATGGTATGTGGTGAAGCTGCTGCAATTACCTACAATCTGTACGGAGAGCACTCTGGAAACAACTGAAGGTTCAATAGAGAGCATCCCCTGAAGGCTTCAACCACCATCAGGGAATTCCCCGAGGACATGGCTGTTTGCCTTTGCTGATAGCCCTGTTAGAACCAACACAACCCCTGCTCACAGTGACTGACCACGTGCCCCCACTAACCTGCAGATGAGGGGTGTATTTTTCTACTAACAAAAAATGTTTGCAGGCAGAAGAGTAAGATGGGCCATTAGACCATTTTCTGCTCCCTGGAGCTTCAATGCTGTGTGCCCTCTATACCCAAAAAGCAAATGCTGATTTTTCCAAGATACTGTATGAATAGTGTATAATCAATGAATATTAAGATGTTATAATTATGAAATAAACAAGAGAGTTTGACAAAGCAGATTATGGTAACAAAAGGAGAATAAAGAGAAGGCTTACCCCTATCCTGGGCTCACTAACAAAACTCCAGCGAAGCAGATCTACCCCACTGGTAGCCAGCTCCTAAATAGGTCTAGGAGGGATGGAGCCTGGCTCCACCCCTTCTGGCAGCACAGATGAATTGCCTTCACCTGTGCTCCTCTGGCTGACTCGTGGCTCACCTCAGGTGATCAATCAGAGGTTCAGGCCCTGACTCAGCAGTTCCCATACACTCCACCCCTTCATGGCATGAACCAATGGTCAGATTGACAAAAGGGTAAGCTTTCCCTAATACAGAGATCTGCTATATCGTGCTGCTTATACAGTTTTCATCGCTCGTGTTGGTACAATTCAAGACGAGTGATGATCAGTCAGTGTCCATGTTCTTTATGGGCCAGTGCTTGATGACGTGACTGGAGGCATGAGGTCCTGAGGTGCAGGTCCATTCTATGTTCCATCAGTCCCATGCAGACCATCACTGGGTGTTGTACTTGACCTGACAGTAACACTGGAATGCTTGATGGCATTTTGTTCTTCCAGTGATCCTGAAGGCTCAAAGTCTCACAGGGAGTAATACAGATGTTTCAGAGGTACCAGGAGGGGAAGGTCTGCTCTCCAGGGCAAGATACAGGCCTTATTTCTATCCTGAGTCAACACTTCTGCTTGTACTGGGGCACATCCTGGCCACCTGTACCACACCTTCTGGCCGGATGTCTGTGGCTGCATAACAATATCAGGCACCAAAGGAGGTGTCCTGATCTGCCACAGGGACATGATGGGGGTCCTTTTAGC